CATGTCCCGGCACCTCAAGGCATGTTGAAGAACAGCTCTCCTGCAGTCCTTGCACCTGAGGCTCACAGGACAGATATTTGTGTCCAACGCAGAGATGCAACCACCTCAAGGGGTCTCTTGGTTAAAGTCTTCAGAACCTCCTGTTGAAGAAGCAGGCATAATATAACAGACGACTAATCAGAACTTAAAGAACCAGAACAAAATTGAGTCCTGTATGGCATTTGCTAAAGTGGAAAGTTTTCTTGAATTTGCCTAGTGTATACCAGGTGGATTTTCGGCAGACTCAAAAATGTAATCTTTTCCAAAGGTCCTGAGTTCAATTCCCAGCAACCACATGGTGGCTCACAACCATCTGTAATGGTGCCCTCTTCTGGACTGCAGACATACACACAGACAGAATATTGTATACATAACAAATAAATAAATATTAAAAAATGTAATCTTTTCTAAGTGAGTAGATCCTTTTAGAGTAAGGATCCTGGGAGTTATTCACTCAAAGCCAAGACCTCACACACACTCTTTCTTCTTGCTCTCTTGCTTTTCTGCTGCCCCTTCCCATTATCTCCATGTGAACTAGAGAGGAACCTGGAGCCCAGTGCACACTTGGCATTCCCTTTGTCACTGACCTCCAGCTCCCACCCGTCCTGAGCTTTATCCTGGAGGTAAAGAATGTTCAAAGGATGCTCCATGTTCATTTTAGAAGCCAGCAATTGAAATTCGAAGATGACAGGAGGTTTCTATATTTCTGTATTTATCAATGTCTATGTATTGATTGTGGAGCACTAGGAGATGCAGTATGGGTCTGACATTCAGGGACATTTGTCCACATGAGCGGATGTTTTGTGATTTCACATGTTATCAGAACTTTGGCCACGCTATGTCTTGTACTTTTCCATTTGATTTAGACTTCCTCTTTATCATTTTCACCCTGGCTGGAGCCCTTGGACAGCCTTCAAGTACAAGAATCTTTTCTCCTCCAGTTATTCTCAGAGTCTGAACATAATTCATTCAGTCTCAACTATTTTTTGATACCAACTCACCAAAAATCTTCAAGTAGTCCCGCCAAAAGAGCATGTAGCTAGCAAAGTCTGATGTTAACAATATCCTCTTTTGAAAAATTAATTTGGCGGTTTCTTTTCATTCCCAACTAGGAAAACTTATGCAGCTATCTGAATAAAACAGCTCTGCTTGGATATAAAAGATTAGCAGCAAGACCCAAAGAGGTTTAAATGACCTCAAAGATCAAAATATGACTTCACATTTCAAAGATGAAGGGTTAAAGATTCAATCTCAATATGTCAAGAATATCTAGGTCTAAACAATAAATTACAGTTGAATCAAGAGACAGCATCCACCTCAGTTCTCTCAGTTCTCAGTTCCCACCAGGAACTGTTCCAATGTTTCAAATGTAACATTGAAACTGCTTCCATCTAGTACTTTTCAAAAGGCTCAGGAACCATTGGTTATCCTTGATAAACAATAGACAACAGTGGGACATGCTAATGAAAAATCGGGGGATGTTATCTCTAGCTGCACCCCTCAAGCTCCCTTTATGACCCTGCCAGCCCAGATGCTGATCATATGATTTCGGTTTATCATGTGGTTTATAGGTCAGTGCTGTCCGTACCTGTCGCCGGCCTCTCTGAAGCAGTCAGACATGGACACGTGTTCTTAATCAAAACTCTCACCAGCCCCGTATGCCTCCCCCACCAAACAGGCTGCCACAGCTGTCAAAGCTTTAGAAGCCTTTAAAACTCCAGCACACATAGCTTAAACCCCGCCAGGTACGAAAGTGTAATTGATACAAAAGGTTTCATTTGACTAGCTTGGAATTAGACTTGAAATCTGAGCCTAACACGATACAACAAATTCTGTTGAAGGATGACTGACAATTTTTCATAAGAATAATTCCTCCCTGACGCTGCCTTTCGTGCATCCCAGGAAATCAGAGTGGCTTCTATCCTTTAAAAAATCTATTAGTTATATATTGTAGAAAATATATTAAAGAATAAATGAGAGGGGCTGGAGGGATTGCTCAGCATTTTAGGGCTTGAAGCGGATTCCTGTTCAGACTGGGTTCAGAAGGCTGCACTCACAGGACCACTGACAACTGCCTGCAACTCTGGGTTTCAGGGTATCTGGTGCCCTTTCTGGCCTCGTGGGCACTAACTATCTGTGAGGCACATGGAAGCAGAACACTCAGACACAAAATAAAAACACATTTTTTTCTTTTAAAGGACAAAACATCCACTGGCTGTCTGTTTTAGATGTCTTAATTTATCATATCAACATTTTTAGTGGTCACAAACACAAAATAATCTTCATTGTCTGAAATAAAATCAACAAATGTTGATACTTATTAGTGTGAGGCTTTTTCTACTACCTATTCAGCCAACGCCCACGCCCAATTTTTGTTTTCAAATCATATTTTGGAGGACAGCTATTCTGGGAGAACATTCTCAGATGTTATTCGTTATACAAAAATCAATCGTTATCCTGGCTAGAACTTACCGCATTCACAGCCCCACCCATTAACAAATTCCCAACGGGCTCAAGAAGTTTCCCAAAGGCTCCTAAGAGGACCATCCAGAGAAAGCTTTCTTAAAAGCTATTGTAGGGGCTGGGCTTGGTGATGCAAGCATTTAGTACCAGCATTCAGAAGGGGAATAGGGAGGACTGCAAGTCCCAGGCCAGTCTGGGTACAGTGAGATTCTCAAAACCAAACCAAACCAGGAAGTGTGGAGTAGGAGACTAGCAAGGTTTACAAGCAAAGGCAAGAGCGCCCTCTTGTGGAGATTAAAAAAACTGATTTTTTTTTTTTTTTTCTCCCCCTTCATTCTCCATTTCTCATTTATTTCCCCACAAGACTACGAGAGAGGGATCACAGATAGCTAGGGGATAATGCAGTTATCTCAGCCAAAAGGCCGCAGGGTAATAATCCCAAGGAGAAAGAATATTAACTGCCTCTCCATAGGCTCCAGGCTTGGGGAGATCTTTACATTGTGCTCAACACAGGACTTGGTAAAGCCAGTTGAAAAGCCAGGGAGTCCTCACCAGCCTGTCAAAGGATTCCTAGTGGCACCAATCTCAACTCACAGATACCAAGACAAACTAAGTTAGTATGACCACCAAGGAGGGTGGGAACACAGCTCAGCAGTGGCGTACCCGCCCAGAACACACAAAGGTAATCCCTAGCCCTGGGTAGGGGGTGGGAGGAGGCAGGGAGTGGTGGCCACAGAGGCCTACCTATGCATCCAGGACAAGAGACCACAAATGGAAGCAAACGGGCAGAGAAAACCAAGGTGGCAAAAAGCCACGGTAACTACACCTCCAGACTGTCCCACACACTTCTCTTTCAAAAAGTTCCCCGGGGCACAGTCTGAAAAGACAGGTAGAAGGTATACTGTGCACCACTGTTCATCCTTCCAATCTGGTGTCAGTATGGAGGAAGTGGGCGAGCACACACTCTTGAGGACCCCTGGGAGGCCCTTTAACAGCAGCTGCCATTGACAAACCCAAGTCATGTATGGCCCTCCCTAGAATGCTCTCCACACATCTGGGGAAAATGACAGCTAGCAATTCCAACTCACTGCCTGTTGGGCCTCAGGAGGCCTGGGCGTGAGGCCCAGTGTAATTTCCTAAGCCTAACTTGAGTTTGGGGAGGCCTAGTGTAACTTCCTGAGCCTAGCTCGAGTTAGGAGGCATGTTTCTCACTACACAACCTAGGCCACCTTGACCCAGCCATTGCTAACATGGCAGAATATTATTGGCCCTTATTCCTTACTCTGCCTCAACCAATCCCAAAATTCTCCATCTCATCACGATCCTGAAGAGTCCATGGGACTCTGGGTGTCCAAAGATGAATGGCAACACACACTCTCTACTTAAGTGCATAGTAATTTGAGCTCTCTGCTCTGTTTTCTGGGACGCGAACTGTCTCTGTTAGCTTTATTGGCCTCCTTTATTCAAGGAAGGAAGTGACAGATAGCCCAAGGTTCTGCCTAGGGAAGGGCTTCCTAATTGCCTGGTCTGAATTCAGCACCCTGCTGACGTGGACTGCGCATCCAGTCCCAGGACTCTTTAGACTCAGGATCCCTAGCCCTTTCTCTTCCCCCAGATTATCCTCGACTGTGTAAGTGAAGTTTCCACCGGGGCGGGGGGGGGGGGGGGGGGGGGAGAAGAAGAAAAACTCATTAGTCCCGCCAAAAGAAACAGTAGAGGCTAAGACATTAAAAAGCAAACATCACACGATTGTTCAGGCCTGGGGAGCTGAGGTTTATTGAAAAGTTTAAATATGATCCTTTAAAATGTTACAACGTTGTATCATGCTGCCTGCATGTATGGGTCAAAATCGAGTGATATTGCTGCATCTAAGGTAACTGGGTCAGCAACCTTATCAACTAACAAAACTTATCAGCTGATAAGAGACATCGATGCAAAGCAGGCAAACCTGGGCATCCTGCACACAATAGCACACAGCACTGGTTTTCAAAGTAGAATTCCTGAGCTGAATGTTGATCGGACAATACCCAAAGCATCTGCGTGGAAATGAACCACGCCCCTTGTCGCAGGCAGCCAGCTTTGGCTTCAGGCAGGCACCATCGCAGCAGCAGCACTCACTGTCGGATAATTCATGGTTTGTCCCTCCACAGGATGCTTCTTCACAGAAAGGGGACCAGATGGCCTGCCACACAGGGACACACACAGCTGAGTCTACCAAGTGTATCAGTCTTCAAGGTAATTCGCAAGAGGTTTGTTTTTTAATCAGTGCAATCTGTTTGCCAAGACTCTTTATTCCTCCCCCCAGGCTTAGCCTGGAAAATCTGAATATTTGCTAAACGCTTGTTGTTGAGGTTTGATACTTTAGTTCTAAAAAGGCTGGGATACCACTGGATTTGGCTAGCAAGTTCATAAAAAGCATGAAAAATGTTGTTTAGACAGGCGAACACCGGAATGTTAGGCTGGGGAGCATCTCAGGCAAGAAAATGAGACTTGAGCACTTCGTTTTATTTGTTTTATTTGTCTTTGGTCTTTTGAGATAAAGTGTCACTGTCTAGAAAAGCCCTAAATCCACAGCAGTCTTTCTGTCACAGTCTCCCAGGTGCAGGTTCGCGCTGCCGTGTCAAGCCCAGAATAAGGTACTTTCATACTGAATTCAAGTCAGAGACAGATTTATTTTTGCTCACCAACGATGGCTTGAAGTCTCCTGTATGTGCTCACATGTGTTGGGTGAGATAGAAAGGTAGTCGAGAAGCCTTTATAGTACAGAGGGGTTGGGGAGGTGGCTCAGTGGGTAAAGTGCTCATTCCTAAAGCACGAGAACCTGAGTTTATATCCCTAGAACCATTGTAAAAAGCGCTGGGTGGGGCACCGTGTGCCTGTAAGCCCAGCACTGGTAAGAGGGAAAGTAGACAGGCAGATCCTGGAGGCTCCCTGGCCAGTCAGTCCAGCTGAAACGGCAAGCTCCAGATTCAGCGAGAGACCCTCTCTCAAAAAATAAGATGAAAAGTATCTGAGGAAGGCATCCTGATACTAGCCGTGACCTGCACACAAGGCAGGTCTGGCCAGTGCAGAGCACACGCATGCGCACGTCTATGTGGCACACAGACACGAAAAGCAATTGTAAAAATGTAACGAAATGATTGCAATGCCATTTCCACACACCACCCATACTCTTTAAAGGCTCAAGAAGGCATCACTGGGGTGACACCAGCCTGATGGTCATAATTAGCATGCTTCTTGCTGACTAGAGAGCATTGGATAGCTGCAAAGTCATCATCTTCTTGCATACGAAAAAAAAAAAGCAAAAGATCTAGCTAGGTAAGGAAAACACAAGTATTTTACAGAAATTAAGCAAATAATTTTTTGCCCTAGTAAAGGGTACATATCTCAAAGTCTGGCTTTCACCGGTATTTCCTCAGTAGACTGACTATTTCATTATACATCCTCCAGGGGGCGTCCAAGCCCCAAATAAAATCCAGATGCTCCCACTCAGGAATGCGCTTGTGGTACACCAAGTTGGGGAGCTGAGTCAGTAAGATATTGATGTCATTGGTGTCTGCCAGCCAGTCCTGGCCCCCGCTCCACAAAGCAGTGGGTACAGTCATCTCCTTCATGTCATACACTGGAGGGCAACTCTGTAAGAAAAAAAGAGTCATAGAAACCTTTGTGATTGTCTTTGGTGCAGTTTTTAAAATTATAATCATTGCAATATTCATTGAAAAACAAATGTCTAGCAAGTCTGATCTACAATTAAAACAAACAAAATCACACATATTTTGAGAATCACTTTCATTATGTTTTCAGGCAGTCATTACAAGGAAAGAATTGGGAACGTGGAGATGTTCTGCCCCACTGTAGGGACCATTTAATCCTCAGCTATCGCCATGGTTATCCCCAGATGTGGATGCAAGGACCCAGCCGAGAAGCTCTGCAGGTAGATCCTCCTACCTTCTCCCTCCGAATGTGAGAGAAGCCGCACAAATCCTCCATGGATCAATTTTCTAACCTTTAAGCCACAAACAAGGGCTACCTCAAGAATTAAGAAACACAGGAAGATTTTTGTACTTCAGGGAACTCAGTGCTCCAAAATGGAAATTTTATTTGCACAGAGAAGAAAATGTTTAAGCCATGTAATGTCTGAGGTCCAGCAAGCCAACAGCCCAGGGCATGCTGGTTCTAAAGCATATGCTTACGGTCCTACTGAATCTCAGTAGCCCCGGATCTACAGCCGGACAGGATGGGGACAGGAGACCTGTACCACTGCACCACTGACAGAGCTGGAGACATCTGAGCGGAATGAGTAAAAACATCCTGCCTAGCCGATTCTGTCAACAACATCCCCCCCCCCCCCCCCCCCCCCCCCCGGGAGCCAAGCCCAGTCGAGTTCCGGAAAACCAAGCTGGCTTCTCTAGTGAGTTTTCAAAGCTTGTTTTAAATGAAAAGTTTTACCTGGTTGTAATGGAAATAATTCTTGTCACTGCTTCCCCAGTCAAAAGCTTGAAACTTATGGTGTTTAACAAGCTAAAAACGACAAAATTTGGAGAAAAGAGTTAGCAGACACCGAAGTCTGAGAAAATATCATTGGTTGTGAGTCAGTCAGGTCCTCAGAAATCAAGTTATAACCAAATCCAGGTTTATTCATCATTTTCAAATAACACACACACACACACACACAATTTCAGTATTTCGGTGGAGGGATTGAGACAGAGTTTCTCTGTGTAACAAACAAGCCTGGCTGTCCTGGGACTCACTCTGTAGACCAGGCTGGCCTCGAACTCATAGAGTTCACCTGCCTCTGCCTCCTGAGTGCTGGGGTTAAAGGCGTGCACCACCACGCCTGGCTCCAAATCATTATTTGAAATAAAATTAAAATAGCGCTCTGGTTTCCTTTTCCATACGACTAAATTTCTGACCGCACAGTTGCAAAAACAGCTATGACCAGAAGGGTTGCCCCCATAAGATGAAATTTATCTGTGTGGACGTTTTTCCACTAAAATTTGCTTCTGTGGCTTTTTCAAGGAAGTAGTGATTTGACTTGGAGATATACATGCATACTGATGTTTCAAACTGTATCAGCTACTGTATGTACAGCAGTGGTCCAGTAAGGATGCACCACTACATGACATCATAACCATCATCGTTTGTGTTCCGTATACTCTATGATGTTCAAACAACAACGAAACTGCTAATTGAAACATTACCCAAAACGTATACCTCTCCTTAAGCAATGCCTTACTGTACAAACATATGGTTGTTTGCTGTCTACCTTACTTATCTATATGTATTGTTTGCACAGATTTTTGAGAGTGTGTGTGTGTGTGTGTGTGTGTGTGTGTGTGTGTGTGATACACTTGCATATGTATGGAGGCCAGAGGTTGATTTGGGGTATCTTCATCATCAGTCTCTCTCCATCTTGTTTTTTGGTACAGGATCTCTCTGAACCTGAAGCTCACTGATTGGCTATATTGGCCAGCGAGCCCCAGGGACTTTTTCTGTCCCCCATTCCTCACAGTGGGATTATAGGCAGGATTCACCAAGCATCCTGATGTCATTAGATCCTCATGCTTGTATGGCAAACATTTTTGCTACCTGAATCATCTTCCCAACCCCATTTGTTCATGTTTTAACGACTTACTAGCTGATCATCTTCAGACCTGGTACATAGCACTAATTTTTTCTGTATGACAACACAATTTTAACTAATGATACTATCATTGTGAAAGGATAAGACTATAATATGAAGATAAAAACAAAAACTCACTTATTTGTGAAATTTCAAACAACACAGATTCATATGTCCTCTAACTGCACAAATTTAAATGAATTAAACCCAAAATAGGAAAGCCAAAAGAACTGTAAATTGTTCATTTTGACCAAATGATGGGACTTGGCTAAGAAAAAAACAAATAAGCAAAACCAGACATTCTTTGTCAGAAATGCTTTTGATAGATGCGAACTTTCAGTTCTCATCAATTACATACACTTTTCTTTTTGATAGGATAAAATCAGTGTGAGATTGGACTCTAGAGGGAATTGCCACAGTAGATATGTTTAGCATCCATTTTTTGCCATTGCGTATAACAGGTATTAAATACTTGTGACAGACTGAGCCAAATATAGACAGACTTATAGCACCTGTGAGTGTGTCCACTTCTATCTCTAACTGCAAGTGAAAACGGATCGCACATTTTAGTTTTCCACGTTCTCACACGTTATACTTGTGTATCAGGCCCCAGGTGAGTGGGAAAGAGATTGTAGCTCAGCCTGAATTTAGTGTGCTCAGAGTCATTTGGGACTTCAAGCTACCAGCACCGTTTTTAAAAAGTTAATCGGGGCTAGAGAGATGGCTCAGCAGTTAAGAGCATTGCCTGCTCTTCCAAAGGTCCTGAGTTTAATTCCCAGCAACCACATGGTGGCTCACAACCATCTGAAATGAGAACTAATGCCCTCTTCTGGCCTGCAGGCAGACACACAAAAAGAATATTGTGTACATAATAAATAAATAAATAAATAAATAAATAAATAAATAAATAAATAAATAAGAAAATAAAATGTTAATCAAATGTACACTTTTTTTTTCAACAAAAAGCAGCAAATTTCAAACAGTGGATGACATCAGAATGATCTAAGGTAGTTATTAAGATGCAGATCCAACGAACACATTCAGAATTCAGATCCTGGATAGATGTGGGATAGGCCCAGAAATCTATTTCATCAGTATTCTCAGAGTAGTGAGTCTAACACTGTAAAGTTTGGTGAAGTCAGGCTTCTTCCAAGGGGATTAAGTCCCCAGGATCTGGGCAGCGGTAGGGAGGGAAGAGACAAGCATGGGTTTGGTTAGTGGGAACTAGTTATAAGCTTGTCAGATTCAGCGTGGAGGCTGCTGTGGGTTACCCTGATTGTCAATTTGACTAAATTCAGAATTAACTAAGAGACACTTGTAGGCATGTCTGTTTCTATGAGGATGTTTCCAGGCAGGCTTATCTGAGGAGGATGGGAGATGTACCCTAAATAACAAGAAGAAAGGGAGAAAAATGAGCTGAGAACCAGTATTATTTCCTGAGGCCATCTGACCACAAGTACCAAAGCCATCTCATGTGCTCAACAGGAGAGCCGCAACAAGAAAGCACTAGGAAAGGATCGGACAAAGTAACTCCTGTATTGACAGAAGGACATCACAGTGAACAGAAGGGCAAAGGGCACAGTGCCCTCTCCACTGAGTCATGGATTTGGAAAAGGCTGAAATCACAAGGTCAACTTGACCAGAGAGCAATGCTATGGCCCTCAGTCTGCAGTCTTTGACCCTGGTCAGCTGCTTAAAGAGGCAGATGAACAGGGCTGGAATCAGAACAGATGCCAGGATTACAGTCAATCCAGCGGCTCTTCCCCAAACCCAGGGCCCAGTGGGGGCCTAGGACACTGCGGATGAAGGAAGACCTACTGTGATGATGACATAGCATGGTCTCAGGGCAGCCACAGTTTCAATTTGGCCAAGAGCCCCTGCAAAACCAGAATGAACGGTTACTTGTGATTTGCTAAAGCATATGGCATACCACACATGGACTGCTGGTGGCCACTAAGCTGACAAGTAGCTCACTGTCTGTCTTCTACGTGCCTCAGGCAGCCGGCAGCCATCTTTGAAAATGCATTGATTTCCGAGGTGACAGAAATGGGGCCTTTTTGAGATATGTCCAATGGGAGAAGCAAAATGTTCACATGTGTTGGGGGAAGAGGTTAGTACGAGAACATATGAGGAAAACAGATGTTCATAAACAGAAATATACTTGAGAGTTGCGCGGACTGAAGGAAGGGCATTTGTCAATCTGAGTGCTTCCCGAGGCCCAAAGCACCGGTCAAGTGGTAAGTGTGTTGCAATCAAGGCAAAGACAGCTTGCATTCTGGGGACCACTCTTCTAAGCCCCAGCAAGTGCTGTCAGCTGACATTCAGCTTTCCTGACACAACAGTAAGGAGTTCTTAGGGAGAAGCCTGTGAGAGGGGAGCTCTTGTTAGCCAGTGTCTCCGAACACACTTCTTCAGTCAGGGCTCCGAGGCAAGGGAGGTGCACACTGGGCTAGAGGAAGAAACTGGTGGACAAATTTTCTAAAACTACATATCTTTATGAATAAAAAGGACTGAACTACCGACAAATACAACAGGGATCATCTCAAAATAATTACGTTGAGAAAAACAGTCAGACCAAAGCAAACAAAAACGTTGTATTATATGCCTCTATTCAAATGAACCCAAGGAAAGGCAAAAAAAAAAAAAAAAAAAAAAAAAGAGATTGACAGAAAGCAAACCACTTGTTGTGGGGGAAGGATTTATCTGGGAATATGAGAGGACTTTTAGAGGTGGCAGCTGTGTTTCCTGTCATACTTTAGGCAATGACATTATGGTTACAACAAAATGTATCAAGTTGTATAATGTAAACTGCACTGTGTCACTTATATCTCAATAAAAATGTAAAAATAAAAACTCAAAGTACAGATTCTCCATTGAAAATGAATTAGACTCTCTGTGGACACAAGAGTCTGCTTTGATTTGCCTGTAAGTTTTTGTTTATTATTCTTGTGTGCACATGGAGGCCGCATGTGCACTTGGGAAGAGCAGAGGACAATGTTCTGTGAAGTTGGTCCTCTCCTTCTCCCTATGTGTTCTGAAACTGACTACACATTGCACGGCTTCCACAGCAAACACTTTAGTTGAGCCATCTTGCTGATCCATAGGTTTTATTTTATCATTTTAAATATCTTATTTATTTTAGTTTACTTATGTATGGAGTGTGTGTGTGTGTATGTGGTCACACACACACGTACAATACACATATAGAAGTCAGAGGACAGCTTGGAGTGCATTCTGTTCTTAGACCTTGTAGGTCCTAGGAATCAAAATCAGGTCATCAGGCCTGGCAGCAAGCGCCTTTATCCACTGAGCCACCGCCTAGCCCCATATGCTTCATTATTAAAGGTCAGGGTGCAAGTTCGCATCTTATTTTTATTTGAGAGATGCAATGCTTAAGGAGCACAGTGTTTCAGATGCAATTGTGTCTGCGCGGTACTCAGAAGCTGCTATCTAATATGCCTTTAGAGCATCTTGGTTTAAAGCGTAAACAGCCAAGCGTTTGACGTTTGAGATAAGGCTAGCTGGGAAAGACCATTCTCATAACCATGCTCTAAGTCCTCCTTTATTGTCAGGTGGGAAAGGGAAGCAAGTTGTAAAGTCATTATTAGGGGAAAAAAAATCTCCTTCTGCATCAAATATTCAACCTATAACTGCTTCTTTTTGAAATGATTAAACAAAAGATACCAAGCAAATGCAGAGACATTTTCTACCTCAAATATATACTTATTATCTAGATGGGATTATTAAAATACTTTTATTTTCATTTTAAGAAATCATTTTTTGATCTATATGTGAACTCTAAATGCTCTAGAACTGGCATACATGCTTATGTGATAAAATGATCAAAATTTTATTTTAAACTGATGGCTTTGGCTCTGGCTTATCCACTGATGTTCCAGGCACTTTGTGTCTGTGTGTTAGTGTTGAAATGACAGCTTCTACCCCTAGAAAATCATATTTTGCCAAACATGAACTAAAGTAAATCTGGTACACAATAAAAAAAATAGGAGGGAAAAAGGAAAGGGGCATAGGAAAGAGATATATAAATCTAAAGTAGAAATAAAGGAGAAGGATGTGGAGGAGAGAAACCTCAGCCCAGATCTCTGCCAGATGAGCCCATGCCCAACACAGTGAATATCGTGGATGATAACTAACGTGCCCCAACTCAGTGACAAGCACCCAGGACTGTAGGAGGAACCAGAGCCCATCTGTTGTTTCTGTTTGTGAGAGGCATGAAGTGGACTGCTCTGGGAACCCATGGCTTGGCCAGTACCAACTTTCCTCAATTCTACCGTTACATGTGCCCAGCTGTGCCCCTGGCGTGCTTACCTGGGCCCAGTGTAGTAAGTTTTGCACAGACGTTCCCGCAGGACTGTGTGTTGTATACACATCCACTCTAGACTGAAGGATGTATATGATGAGTTAGAAAATGAAAACAGCGGTAAGGCGATATTCGTTAACACAACTTTGCTCTTCAAAGGACAAAATATAGAAATCTGTACATAGTTTTTCAGAATATTAATCTCTCAGCGGTCAGAATATATCTGGCTACAAATACATCCAATATGCACAACCACACGTGCAGAGCACAGAAAAGCAGCAGCGAGGTAGGTGCTAGGGGCACAGGCTGCGGCCATGGCTCATCAGCCACAGCTCGTGTCTGTCTCCTTAATGCTTTCCTAAGCTTCCAAACTTCAGGAACTTAAAGTCTTCCTTTAATCATTAGGAAAAAAATGAAAATATCATTTTTTCAAAGTCCCTACCACCTTCATTACAGAATATTCTGTGCGGACCAGGATCTGACTAGACAGCTCAAACTTGAACTCAAGATCCTCCTGCCTCAGCCCCCAAGGGCTGGGGTTACAGGAATGCAGGGATGGGGTTACAGTAAAGGCAACCACACCTGCCTTTACTCCAGAATTTTAGAGCCTGCTTTCAGAACTCAACATTCCAAAAACACAAATGCATTTAGAAGCACAAGCACATTGTAAGCCAGAGATTTACACCTCAGAACAAACATGAATATATA